CGTTATACACCCTATAACCTCCCTGTAACCTCCCTGTAACCTACCTATATATGAAAACAGAAGCGCGAAACTGACTCGAAGGTACAGGTAGGTTACAGGGAGGTTACAGGGGGAATAACGCGGTTATATCCTCCTAAAATCCTCCCTGTAACCTGTTTGCAGGTTACAGACGTACGCAACTCTGCGTACGTCTTATGTACGCAAATTTTTTCCCTCAAATTCATCCTTTGTCGAGAACCTTCAACATTGCTGGAAACATATCCATAAATGGCCACACACAAATATCCTTGATGGTGGGGGGATGATAAACATAATGCTCTCAAAAACCATCATTAATTACAGCTTTGCCAACATAAAAAGGAAAAAAAAACTATGCGCGTATAAATATACTTGTATTTGTCTGCTTTAGGAGCAAGGCATGTGTATTCTTTATTAACAATAGTGAGATACAATTTCTGTGATTTTTCTCCACTTGGCTTTCTTTTACTTTTCATGTTTCCTTTTTCACCTCACCAAACATGTGCATTGTCATTTGTCCGTAGGCGCACCACTTGGGCTGGAACAACATAAACGAGAGACCAAAGAAAAGAGAAATGTTAAGTATTCAATAAAGCACCCGAATTTGACCAATAACTTGTAAGAAAGAGCAACTCAAATTAGTTGTTTAATTAAATCTCTTCTCAATGGAATCATTAAATCGTTAATTTGAAGGCGTAGGGCCTCCAATCGGTGGACCATAAAAGGATAATTGACAGATTAAAAGAGTGCAGACTTTAATATGTAATATGTCTAGATTTTGTCCATTGACTTTCCATATAGAAATTAGGAATACAAGTGATTAAATAGCATATGATGTCATAACAGTCTGTTATCTCACTGATCAGTTTCCAAGCCTAACAAATTACAGAAAAGTCGCTGTTTACTTGTAGCATAGAGCAAGTTAAATCTTAATGCACTGTTATATTTTTCTTGTTTGGATTAAATTTAACGTTCAAGCACGCCTTCATGATTATATTGACTACATGAATAATTCACTACTACCGCAAAAGAAAAAAATACATAAATTTATATATATACATATATTGTCGAATCCAAAAATGTCCGGGAAACACACCAAAGATATAGTGGGAAACAGTTAAGAACGTATAGCATTTGTTCATGATATTAACCCCATATTTATAGGAATGGGACTAGGTTTTTAAAAATTACAGATTTATCCTCTCATCGTTGGCCTTTCAAAAGGACATTTTAGTAGTTTACAGAAGTATTTAATATAATAAGATCAATCGAGTCATTCGGTCAGGAGATACTTGTCGATCGTTTGTTCCATGTTTACAGTCAATCGTAGTTCTGAGGGACAGTTCCTCGGTGCTCTTTGTCAGAGTCTAATTTCTTAGATCAACATTTCCATGCTCTCGTAGTCAGCCTATGATCCGTCGTACGTTCGACAATTGTCCGTCATTAATGTCCAGTACACGCGTTCAGACATGTGCAATATAGTCTAATCTCAAACCTAATTATCATTTACCCATGAGAAAGTTACGGATGGAGATAAAGTTACAAGCAAAGCGCAGCCTCCTCAATAAATGATACATGTCTAACAAAGCTATATTGTGTGCGTTGAACATATGAGTTAATTACTACAAATGGTATGGGTTAGTTGATGTTAATTTCTTGACGGTTTGTAATTGTGCTGTAATTTCATCTGCCTAGCTAGAAACAAGGACAGGTTAAGTGAAGTTTTGTTCTTATTAAAATAACATGTGACGTTACTATGCATACCTAATCAATGAATGATGCATGGTAACTTTAATGTTTGTGGCTTTGAATCTAGAATGCCGACCCCTCAAAGTCTACACGTGTTCAGACATGTGCAAAATAGTCTAATCTCAAACCTAATTATCTTTTACCCATGAGAAAGTTACGAATGGAGATAAAGTTACAAGCAAAGCGCAGCTTCCTCAATAAATGATACATGTCTAACAAAGCTATATTGTGTGCGTTGAACATATGAGTTAATTACTACAAATGGTATGGATTAGTTGATGTTAATTTCTTGACGGTTTGTAATTGTGCTGTAATTTCATCTCCCTAGCTAGAAACAAGGACAGGTTAAGTGAAGTTTTGTTCTTATTAAAATAACATGTGACGTTACTATGCATACCTAATCAATGAATGATGCATGGTAACTTTAACGTTTGTGGCTTTGAATCTAGAATGCCGAATGTTATTAGTACAATAATGTGATAATATTCATAGATGGGCTGAGGTGTGTCCGTTTATAGATTTTTAAAGAGGGTATTGTGATCATTTTGGCCAAAGACATAGATGCAACATTGATCTATCAATGTTGACACTAATTGATCATACAGTGTGTATTAGACATCTTATTTGTCTTAATGACATCATAATTGATAAATCTTGAGTTCATGTATAACGCTTCACAAATTTGTTTTATAATTTATATTTGTTTTACTTACAACACTTCACAAAATTTTTATGATTTTATTTCTAAAATCTCTGGAGCATCACCATATTTTCCCCAAATTTGTTCTATATTTTGGGTTTTTCTTCAAGTCTCTATAGAAGCATTGTCTAGTTTCCCTCATTTTTACATTTTAATTCCTCAAAGGTCCCTTTATTTTAATTTATTTTCTTAGTGGTTATGACTATCTGTTTTGCCCTTTAAACTACATTTGGCTTCATTTCTGATGTCTATATTATATTAAATAACATAGAGATAGTACTTTAGACTGATAAAAAAACCAACCTTTTATCTTCATTTTGTCTCTTAATTTAGTCTTGAAAACAATGTGGGTGTGTGTGTGAGATATATATATATATATATATATATTATAGAAAGGAAACGGTATTTGAGTCTGGTGGTCCTCAAATAACAGTTTCCTTTTGCGCTCGGACACCTATAATTGAGTGTCTGTGTCATGTGTCTAATATTCCAGAGCCCCCGGGCCACAGTGGGATCGAACCTTTGACCTAAGGGGACTTACAATGACCCTGCCACCAACAAGCCAAGGCTTGCGACACAACACACACACACAAGGTTAATGATCAATCAAAAAGTACATGCGGAAGAGAGAACACAAAATTTATTCCTAATACAAGGAAAGGAAACAGGTCTCCATGAAGCAAAACACCAAGATCATGAGGAGATGAGCCAATGTTGATAACATTAAGGTTAGCACCCATTTGGCCAAGTAGTCAACTCATATGTATATGTGTGTGTGTGTGTAATGATAAATCAATATTGATAACATTAAGGTTAGCACCCATTTGGCCAAGTAGTCGACTCATATATATATATATATATATATATATATATATATATATATATATATAAAAAGTACATGCGGAAGAGAAAACACAAAATATTACTAATACAAGGAGAGGAAACAGGTCTCCATGAAGCAAAACACCAAGATCATGAGGAGGAGATGAGCCAATATTGATAACATTAAGGTTAGCACCCATTTGGCCAAGTAGTCAACCCATATATATATATATACTTCTTTGAATGATTTGTTGATGTTTGAAACTAAACGTTGAACAAAGTTTCTCCCTTCTTTTGTTCAATATGAACTCAATTTGGTACTTAACTCATCAAATCAAAGTTAAGCTAATCATGGCTAGATCATTAAGAACTAGGATTCAAATATTCTTCTAGGACTACTAACCAATAGCTAGAAGAACGAGTAGGATAACACTAAATCACATAGTGAAATACTAATATTGTTAATAGGATATTGCAACCTCATAAGAGACTAGAGGATTCCAAGAAAACATTGTGTGATTAAGTAATGCTTAACTATAATAAGTGTTTCCAACACTTCTTAATGTTTTGGAATAGAGTAAGAAGTATTTTTCATTGATTTTCAACTTTAGAATAAAAATTTAATGGAAGGATATCAATGATTCACACGATTTATGTCAAATGAGCATGATTTTAACCATAGTTAACACAACCTTGTAGATTTAGAATTTTGCAAAATTACAATTTTAGAAGTCTTTAAAATTTCACAAAATTTCAACGCTTCAAGCAAAGCTTAGGATTATTAAACCAGAAGATTACCTTTTCTGGAAAATTTAGATAGTTTCGTGTGGGATTGATATGAAGACTCTTAAATCTATATACTTCATGATCGACATAATACTTTCACGGTTGAAATGTGCTTTAGTGCATTGCAAATCATCTACCATAACTAAAACTAATAGGAGCCTAAATATAAGAAACCTCTAATTCCCCCATTCAAGCTCTCCCCATTCTCTAAAGCAGATTCAAAACCCTCAAATAAACTTTCCTAAGCTCTTTCCCCATCCTCTCTAATCCAATTAGGATCTCTAACCTCTTTTCATACTAACATGAGCAAACTAGCAAATGCCGCAGTCAAATTCATTGATTCGAGCTAGACAAAACTCCAAGACCTCCCAGTTAAAGGAAAATCTTGAAATTATAAGGTATTCCCCTAACTGTTCCTCTTTTACATTTGGTGTTGGTTGTTTTTTTTTTTTTTTTGTT